AAGCTAAGTTATACACACTTGTAATCACTTCAATTGCAAGGCAAAAATACCAGTAATTAATTGTGGCAATGTGACAGGATTTAAATAAACCAAACAGAAATCTTGGTAGTATATAAAATGTAAATATCTGAAAGCTGTCAACATTTTATGTACTGAAATTAGTTCCACTTGCAATGGCATCAGAATGAGATTCTCCAGTTAATAACCTCCTCTTCATCTGAATCTAGTCTTGACAACAGAAACACCATCAAGAATTAAAAAATGGGAAAATGGCTTCTGTTTAAACCAAGGAACTCTTAACTGTATTTTGTATTTCATCACAAAAAAGCTCAGTAACCTGAGGTAAAGCTGCCAGATGTTCAGGTTTCTCCAGACACAGCCTTATTTCCTCCCTGCACTCCTACTATCCCCCTCAAAATTCTGTCCTGGAAAAACAAAAACAAACAAACAAAAAAGGACAAATTTGGCCATTTGTCTGCAATTTACAGATGCTGGGCAACATAGTCAGGTGGTAGCTCTAATGTGGCTGCTTGATGCTTGGAAATTCTGGACAATGTATATCCACCATTTAGGATTCACAGTCTTCAGCCACCTCAGAGCGAGGTGGACCAAGTTTTGCTTGTTTGTTTTAAAGAACAAGTCCCTCATTTCAGAGAAAAAATAATGTCCTGAAAAAAGGGGGCCCAGCTTCAATATGTTTAATATTGAATACTTTTTGATAAAAATACAGAAATTCCAAACGGCACAGAAATTAAAAACCAGGTTTCCTCTACTTCATATATGTAATCTAACCACTAAGTCACAATCACTCCCTCATTCTTCTGATTTCTTAACTATTCCTTACAGAGATGAGTTTTAAAAAGGAAAGCTGATAATGCCTGCAGCTCCAGGCAATTTAGAAATTTATGGTTACTGCTTTTTCTCAAAGAAAGGAGATGTGTCTCTAAAGTATCATCCACATCCTGGGTACCCGCCCTCTGGCTGAACCAGCAGGTCACAGGAAGCAGCATCCCTACTCCTACAGCCAGTTTATATGAAGCCTTACAAGTTGTACTCAGCAGTTCACTTGGCAGCACATACATCTCAGCTAACACAAATTGAGGAACACTTATTTCACATGGCCTAAAAGATTTTCATATATTTAACAGATGCCAAGCTATGCAGTACCATGAACACTATGGTACTAGAGAGCTTGGCCAAATGAAGAGTTTTAGGTACAAAAAGGACTTTCAGTCCAAAAGCAATATACATCCAGGTAGCCGCAGAACAGAAGTTTTAAGAATGAAAACTTGGATCTAGTCAGATATTAAGGTCATGAAACTTTAAGTCAATTTTTCCAATCTCTGTAAAAGGCACAAAATCTCTCTGCCTCTCAGAGACATGACATTTTTGATTATGTTTATTAATGCATCCTTACACAGGAGATAACAACATCCCAGCACAGATGGTACTGTGATTTCTACAGTAGTTGTAACCACTGCATACATGGAAACTGATATGTAAGGGCTTTTCTTCATGGAAAACCCAAACTTATTAAAAAAGCTTCACAGGGATTCAGTGAAACACTTAAACATGGAAACCCTGAATATTGTTACTTATGATCTCTGGCCAAACTTATTATCATTAACAATACACGTTCATATTTATTGCCAAAAATTATGCTGGCACAATATTGCAAGATTGAAACTCAAGATTCATTTAAAAACCAGATATTGTAAAGTTAAAAACTAGTACAGCTTTAATCCCTCATCAGTGAACATACATATTTACCAACATAATCTCTATTAATAACATCATCGCATCCTGATTTCATGAGACTGTCCCAACTTTTAACAACCATATTGTGATTTTGAGAGCCCAAACCTGTTTCAGGTTGTTAGCAGAGGTCTTTTGCCATTGACAGGTCTCCTGATTTCATCAGAACAGGCTACATGGCTTTGGTCTCATTTTTTTTCAACTTGATACGAGATGGTATGAAAGGGCACATACGGCAGGCAATTCCTGAACTCCAAGTTATCCTAGAGTGCTTTAAGCTGTCTGTGGTGACAATAAACAGTGGATCTAGGTGGATCAATCACTGTAAACCAAAAGTATACAAGCCAAAAGTCCACAGTGTCAGCCTCAGAACGGGACAACAAAAATCTTACTGAATCCCAGACTGACTCTGTATTTGCCTTTTACATAAAAATGGTATGCTAAACTGAAAGAATGTCTGGAAAAGAAAAACATACACGTCTGTCTGGTATCACAGCAAATTCAGTAAGCAGCTCTTCACAGACAAAGTGGAGAAGTTATCTGAGCTCAAGTAAAATGGATTAGTTTTTGCCAAAAATCAATGCAAAAACATGAACCAGACACTAGCAGCTGAACCTCAAAATCTTCAAGAGTAGCATGGATAAAGAGCTCATTTCCATACAATCCCTCTGGACTGAACTGAAACAAGAAAGAAAACTGACATCTAAACATCTGGTACCACCACAATACAGAGAATGAAAAGCTCTTGCTACCCTTTCATTTCTGTGGCACATTGCAGGACTGAAATTACTACCTGAGATAGTTCTGAACCATGGTCAAAAGATGTAACAAGTTCCAAATCCCCCATGCCAAAAGAAACAAAGGGTACCCTAGCCATCAATCAGGAGCCAAGCTGCCTCACTGAACATACAATTTTAAAACCCACCACTAAGCAGGCCATGCTTGAAAGCAAGGTGTGCTTTAATTTAGTAAAACATACTTCATGACTTAAAGACAATTGACTGAAAAAGACCTTTTTTTTTTTTTTTTTTCCTCCTATAAGCAATCATAAATGTATGCCTCTTACATTCTCTTAAGCATCAAACATTTCGCTGTATTATTTTCTTAATTTTTGGAAGACCTAGGGCCAAGCTCATTAATTAATTTAGTCTTTGAAAATCAACTACATCTACTTAGACAAGGAAATTAGCCAAAGTTTGTCATTAAACTTGAGACTCAGGCCAACCTGACCTGCTTAAGGAAAATAAAAAAAAGAAAACAATAATTCCTTGCACACACTGCACTTGTGTAATTAGCTTACTGAAACCAATTAAACACATGAAGATGCATTTATAAATAAATAAATGCTAAAATGCTAAATGAGAAGACTTAATTATTCTGCCAAGTCCAATGACAGACACTAAAATGATTCCACATTCCTTTGGCTGACAGGTTTAGAAAGGATACCTTTCCAATCCAAAAATACTCCACCAGACAGCAACTAAAGATATTCTGAATATGTTCACACTCAAATCAAGCAGGGTTTTTTTAATACAAACTCCTATGAAATCAGGTTCTCCAGAATACAATAATACCTCAGGCATAAACAACAGATTAAATAAGAGTTCCTCTACCTTCAAGCCATCTGCTAGTTTGCCAATGAAGCTCCAGGGAAAGAATATTTAGAGCAGGCTTCATCTCACCTAATTTTATCCATCTAAACTTTTGACTTGAAGCATAAATTCTCTATTTAGGCACTTCCTACCGTCAGCTGTAGATGGGCATTCCTTAAGAAAATGAATCCCACTTCAAGATATATATCCAAAAACCTAACTCATCTGTACCTTTAAGTTAAGTAGAGGTTTATCCCACCTCTCATTCAGTGGTCAAGTTAAGCATAATCATACAGTAAGGAAGGTAATCATCTCACTGCAATGGGATAATAATAAAATGTTGAGCTCAATCTCTCTACTTTTCAATCTATCAAAAGAGAACAACATGTTTCACAAGCATCTCTTTTAAAATTGAATGAAGCCTATTACGGGAGCATTTCCTCTCAAACCACCTTAATGGACTACCTGGATAGCTATCTCAAACTAGGCATTTAAGATAATGGAAAAATGAGCAAGACAAAACACTGACTTAGTGGACAGCACCACAAATATACATTTAGATTTAGCTGAGCAGATACTGAAATTTCACTTCCCTAGCTTTAATCATACAAATAACCCATTTAGAGTCTTTTGAGTTTTCACAGTGTTAATTTAAATTGACCGTAGCATTGGTAGGGGGCATTGGCACAACATGAAGTCTAGAGGATGAGTCTAAATCCGTCTAAATCTATTTGGAGTACAATAAAGCAGAAAGCATGCAGAACACAGAAAATAACTGAGTGCATGGAACAACTTGGGCTGACAGCAGCAGTGTTAAGTCCATTAGCTGTCATTAGAACTAACTACATCACTGTGGACCTTGCCAGTCCAGTCCAATCCCAATGACTTGGCTATACAGATTACTCCTTCAAATGATGAAGTCAGTCAAATTTTGGTCAGACTTAATGATCTTTGGGAACACCAAGGTGTAATATGATTTCAAGCATGGATACTTATCCCCTAAAAACTGTAATAAAAACACCTAGCAGTTTTCAGTCAATTGAACAGTTTGTGGAAGAAAATGAAAAACACATCTTTCCATCCTGCTACCTATCTCAGTTAAATTCTTAGTATCTTTTATAGCTTTGCAAATAGAGAAAATACTGTTTTCTAACGCAGATGCAGGTCCTCCAATAAGATAAACAAGTTAGCTTGCAGTAAACCAGCTTTATCTAGCAGCTTGCAGTATGTTTAATGATTGGGACAATCTGCTGACATTCCACAACTGTAGGTAAAAAAAATCGCATTATTTGTGTAATTTTAAATGCTACAAACATATTCAGAGGTTTAAGTGGTTAAGTATTCACCTCATAAGAAATACGTTGTTTGAAGGGAAAAAATGATGGGACATATAGAAACTCAACAGATTATTCTAAAACCATATTAACACTACACTAACCTTTTAAATTACATTTGATTCTGTAATGCTTTTTTTTTGGAAAAAAACCACCAAATGACAGAACAAACCAAAGAAACAAACCAAACTTCTGCTGGGGCACAGAAATCCTATCCAGGTGTAGTTCATAGGCAGGTAAAATAGAAGCAATAACCAACAGACAATTTTTGCTGCAATACTTCAAGACATGCCCATGTGTGCAACTCCTGCAGACATACCTGAGCTAGCTTACATGAGGACAGCAACATGAATGTGCCAGCCAGCAACAAGGCATAGTCTTGTTCAGTCACTCGCAGATGTATTCCCTTTTTGGGTGGATGATGAACCCTCATTTAAACGCTCTGCTGCTGCAGTTCCAATCATCTCAACTCAACCATTTGAAACACTGTGCTGCGTGTGCAAATCAGAGAAATGTTTTGATAGCAACACAAAAGCATTCCTACGGGCGGATACCACTTACTTCTCTCTATCCACTTAAAACAATGAGAAAATGCTGGACTGATTTCCTAAACCTTTCTGAGACAAATGTCAGATACGTTCTCCCTTAACATAAAGGTTAGTTTTCTGCCCCTATTTCTTGCTTGCTATTTCACCCTGACCCAGAATACTTGAATTAATGGATCTCACCTGAGGACATTTTTTTTTAATACCCATATAAATTTAAATAATTTCTTTTCTTTGAATTAATTAAGTTTCCTATTTCCTATGTAAAGTAGAACAGCATTAGTTACCTACCTTTTACAGACTAAGAAAGATAGGCAGAGAGGAGCTCTGTGGTAGAGGAGGCAACAAATGCAAGAACCTAAACAAGATGGAAATAAAATTTCCAATGAGATCAGTGGGTGTTATTTAAATCATATACTGCTGTGGGTCTCCTGACACCCATTCATGAGCTTCAAGACATGATGTTAAAGAACAGTAGGGACCAACCAACAATATTCTAAAACTGTAATAATAAGTATAATCAACCAGACAGTCAATGCACCTAAATCACTATCAAGCCCAATTATAAGAACCACTGTAAACCAGTAAAAGTCAGAGTGTCATAAGTTTAGCCTTCTTTTCTCTTCCACTCTTCATTCTTTCAGAGGACAAAAAGGTTTCCAGAATAATCCTCTACACACCATATGTGCTTCCCAATTCCAAGGTCTAGGATTATAAAATGAAAGCTGAGATCCCCACGGTTATATAATTTCATGAGTTAGGACCTCAAGACACCAATTAAATGCAATAAATCAGAATTGACAATGGCAACACTAACACTCTCCAGGTGTCTATAAGCAATGTCTCATGGGTAATTACATGACAGTCAACTGGTCAAAAACATGAGCTAAGGAGCTCAAAACTTTGCCATTCCCTTTAAAGAATTGCATAAAGCAGGCTTGACACTCCTTGCACACTTACTAATGAGTCTGCTTCCAACAACCATCATCACTCCTTTAATACTCTTTCTGGGTTTACAGTTCTATTGCTCATAGAGGATGGTGAAAGAACAGGTCAGGTATTTTCATTTTCATTTGGATTTTAACTCTCAGAATGCCACACAACAGCCATACACATTTTAAGGCACAGCAACTGAATCAAGAGTAAAACTCACGGAATAGAAAAGATCAACATTCTGTCATTTTGACTCTTTACTACCTCTACTTTCTGCCTCATTAAGACAGAAACCAGTATTATTATTTTCTTAGCATTCTACTTTTGGGGTACACTCACTTTATATAGGACAAAGGAAAAGTGAACAGGATCTACATAGTTTGTAAACACTGAAGAGGTCAGTATGTAACACTATCATGTGTAATACGCAGCAGGAAATATTTGCAGACTTCAAAGGCTAACTGACAGGTTTTTTCCTAACAAAATGGCATAGGGATTCCAGCTTTCCTAGAAGTGCTTCTGCTGCACTGAGGAGGAACTCAGTCCTATCCCATCCCAACAGTCTGAGAACCTACCTCGCAATCGTACTTCTTCAAAAGAGTCATTCTGGAGCTTAAAAACTCTCTTACTCTAAAAGTTTTATTGATGGGGGAAAAGCCTAGATTTTCCCAGGTAGTTTATATGTTGCTTTCCTTCAACTCTCTACAGTAGCTAACAGCCAACAGTACAAACCATACCACATATTTCAAGATTCTTATATCCAAAACTAAATCTGAATCAGCAAGTGTCTACTACACCTTGAATGGCAACAATAGGCACACAGTAAATAAAATTAATCTATGATTATATAGTTGAAAAAATATTTTTTGTATATTTAATAAAAGTGACATTTTCTGTATATTTAACAGAAGTCACATTTTCTGTAAAAAAAACTTAAATAAACATCTTCAATTACATACTCAACAGAAAGTAAGACAAAGAAAGGGCCCAGTTTTCCATTTGAGAATACAGGCATTTGGAACAATGCCTATACAAACCTCCTAATTTCTACTCTGTTAATTCCACATGATTTTCCCGTAAGCATACCTGGTTTTCTGTAACCAATTTTGATTTGCATAAATTCTTCCTGGAAAAGGAACAATTATCTAACCTAATGATTTCTCCATTAATGGACGTATTGGCAACAACAAATAATGGAGAAGTCCTTGATTAGTTTCAGGAGAATTCTGACCAGCATAAAGAGGTATTACATCAGGAAGAGCCTTAGCGCAAGTTTCCTTTCAATGCAGGACATTCAGTGCGCTGAGGGAATAGGACTGATCTAGGTATTCTGAGAAGACAGAAGTGTAGGCAAAATGGTTTTTTGCTTTTGCAAGGGATGGGCATATCCAAGGCTTGATATCCAAAGATGTTATACTAAATGAATGAAATATCTGGTCTTTAGATGCTAATAGCCCCTCTTCAACTGCAGCTCTAGGCTCTGTCTCTCTATCCTATACATGGCTGTGACACAGTCCAAGATATAGCCCAAACGAACAGGAGGACATAATTCCTTTTGCAGCCTCTTCCCAGAGCCACTCCAGCTACAGCTGTAGGCTCTGTCTCTCTCCCTACCCTAATGCTAGCCCCAGCTCAATGCATCACCACCAAACCATACTCCCTAAAAAGCCCAAACCACCATTTTCTCATGAATTTTTGGTTCCTTTATCAGGGAATGTTCTTCAAAAGCCAGTTCGATGTTAATAACATAGTCATTATTACAAATGCAGCTTTTACTCATTAAGCCACAAGAATACAAAGTGGCAGTTAACCCCTTAGTCACTGAAACATGACTACATAGCAGCAGTTCTACTATAATGCTGCCTTTGAAATACCACTGTTGACCGAGAACTGGCTTACTAATGTGTTTTCCCTCTCAGCACAATGAGAAGTTAGAGTGACAAAGGAAAAGGACAAATACTTTTGAAGAGAAAGGATCATAGTTTAGCATCTGAAATGTATGAGAGATTTACCACAAAAGGATTGTCTAAGTTCTGTCTTTTTAGCAGTTGAATTAGCAAGAAAACAAGTTCAGGAGTCATGCTTACAAAAGGGGACATACTGGAGTTTGCACATCCTTAAAGAATCCTAGCCTACTTCTGGACGGGTTGCTTAAACTTCTGCAACCTCAGTTTTTTCAGCAGTAAAATGTAATTAATAATCCTATGTTTTCAGACAGCAGGACTATGAACCTTAATTCATTTAAATTCCGTGAAAGTCTTCTGAGCTCCTTGTATGGAAAGCTTTATTTAATAAATAATCTTATTATTCCAAAGGAGCAGCTGTAACAAAAAAATTCCTATTTATTTTATTGCTTATTTCCATTTGCACATAACTGTCCAACCCCCTAAAAGGAGCACTTGACCACTTCTTCCTGTTCTGATAAGCACTTACGGTAGTCAAAGTGTGTTATATTAGAAAAATATATTCTAGTCCAACACAAAAACATTTTTACCAGTGACAGGAAAACCCAGATGTTATGACTATCAGGATTTTAACAGCATGTTCAAATTACTTAATGTTATTTTCCTGAGTTTCATGTACATTTTAAACTAGATTTGTTTCTCTGTTAAAATACGTTCTAATCTCTTTTGCTGTTTTATCTAATGAATTAGAATGGCTTCAACTCTTTTTCTGGACATAGAAATTAACAGAACACACTGCTTTGATTTGTCCGTCTACAAACAAGCCCAGAGGTGTTGCTAGTTCTCAGCCAATATTATACTGTTCTTTATTTATATTTCATCTACTCCTAAATAAAATCACAATGAAAAGAAAAAGAAAACACAGGAGAGATGCTGCAGCCTTAAGTAATACTGGTTAGAGCAGAACTCAGATGCCCTCTTTTAGCTTCCAGGGTGAAGTAGATTCCACTGAGAGCTTCCATGTACTACTAAATCAGAGATGTTTCCCTTGAGTATAAATGCTGGGACGAAAGCCTCATAGATCTGAACGATCACAACTATTAACAGTTTTTTTCCCCAGCTTGCAATCACAGTGCAGACCATGGAGTCAAACGCAATTCACTGAGTATGAATCTGACCAAAAAACTGACAGAAACACAATGTGATCCTCATCTGGTTGGAGAAAAACTTAAAGGCTTCAACTAGTCCTAGAAGACTAGGACTGATAGAAAATAGCTACCCAGAAGACAGCTCTGGAGAAAAGACTTTTAAGATTACTCTCCCCTGTCTACAGGCTATGTCATATACAGAACTTAACAGGAGTGGGCCACAGGGCCATGAAAGGCCACAGCTTGTAAAGTATGCAACACAAGGATCAATGAGGAATGATTATAGTAATTTAGATGGCCCACAACAAGAGTCTAAGACAAAACAAGGCAGTCTTCAAACTCTCAACATCTCAGGATCTCAAAGATTTGGCTACAGTAGAAAGCCACAGCGTCCAGAGTCCTGTGAAATTTTTTTTTATATAAAATGCCATATAATCTTTAAAAAAGCTTCATGTAACCTGGAAGTCAGCAGCACCGAGACCAAAAAGTCTCTCTACATTGCAAAGGTAGACCTGCATATTACCAAGCTATGGAAAGCAAGCCAATATTCCTTTCTGCTGAACTGATATGCTCCTTTCAGATAATTTCAAATGCGATTTGGAACTAATGTTACATTTGGAGGTGTAAGTAGCACCAATAAACATGCTATTTCCTCAGACAGAAGGGTTCAGGTTCCTTTAAAGAAAGGCTTCTTCTATATAGTATATTCTGACATACTGGGTAAATACTAGCTCCTGTTTCTCTCACAGAGCTTAAAGAGCAGGATGTAGTACAATGTCAAAGATATCTGCTTGTCTCAGTCAACACAAAGCCAAGCCCCAGAAATCATCTAACATTATATACTGACTGCCAAGTACTGTTTGAAAACCGGACCTTTTAAAATATCAGTTTTCTTAGTCTAAATTGCATACAGTACCTTTGTAATAACCTCCTTCTAGATGTGCTACACCTCCTTCTCAGGATTCAGAATTGCCACTTATAAGCAACCAAAGGAACAAAATGTTTCTATTATTTATGTTGATCCTTATCACGGACAGTAAAAGGATTTTCATCATCATGTCAGCCCCTTTATTCTACCTACTCTGCCCAGTGCTTAAGAGCCTCAGCTGTACCCCAGGGCCCAGCAGTCAAAGGCAAATCCCCTATACAAAGTTTGCTTGTCCTAGCAATTCTTTAGAAAACAGTATGTGGGCAAAATGAAATGCAAAGTAAATAAAACCATTTCAACTACCTTGCCATGTAGTTTGTGGACATCATATCTTATTTGAGCAAATTCACGGAGTCCAAAAGATCCTCCAATGAGATACAGCTGAAAACAAAATGAATACAGGTATGTTAGGACTGTCATGAAAAAGAACACTTTGTATACTGGCCCAACTGATTTACCAAGGGACCCTACGATTCTTCCAACAGAAACACCAGGAGCTGAAGAAAATAATATACTGGAACATAAGTATAGGAGCCTTCTTCCATTCTCTGGGCCTAGATGTCACAGATTTCCTTCTTCATACAAAGACAGCTACTACATGACACACACTTTCTAGGGACTTACTCTCCTTTTACTCCTTCCTTCCCCTCTCCATGTGGTTTCCTGACACAACTGCAGCAAGGGAACCTTTGCCTCACTGCCATAGGATTTATTCTCATAAATCTTCAAACTCTATAGAGAGGTAACAATGCCACACTGACTTACTCTGATGTCTGTGGCTGAGAGATCTAATTAAGCTTCCGAACAGAGCATGACTGTAGCTGAAGTTCAATAATATATTATCACACAGGCTAAAAGATCATATCCAGCACACCTGCCCTTTTATTATTGCTTCCTTAGTTGTCCTGCAATTCCCTCCACACCTGTGAAGCTTATGAGTAAAGATAATAAAGGGAGAAATGGGAGGGGCTTCATATCCACATATGAAATCATTAAATTATTCTTCCTTATGACAAAGTGATACCACAAAACTATGTATTTTTACCATTAGAAATGGATAGACCAACCAAAGACCAAGCATTGTTAAAAAAAAAAATGAAAATCAGCTTAGCAATCTAGCTACTTAGCAGAAGAATTGGGCCTCTTGCTACTGCTCTAACCTGACAGACTGTCTGCTGTTCTCTGTTCAAGGAAGATGCACAGGAGGCCAAAAGGCTACACAGCTAGAGATGCACATCTAAGGAAGGTGGAGGCATGAGGAAGCTCTAAGGACCTGAGTGAAATTAAAAAAAAAAAAAAAACAACAATCAAAACCTGCCACCACCACCCTCTTTTATCATGCCACATTGCTTTTACAGTCCCTCATTACAGGCTGTTGCTGCACTGGTAACTTACACACTGCTGGCTGATTTCTTGCTACATACTAGGTTTGCAGCAATGGCCTGTGTCCATGAACCGTTATAATTATGCTGCACAGGTAGTCAAAATGCACGTTTTGTAACTGTGGCCACAAAGTCATAGTCATTCAATTTAAATTAGAACTAAACAAACAAACAAACAAAAAAAGTCACCTACATTTATTCATTCTCAAAGTTGCACACTGTGTGATTTCCCATCAAGCAGGTAAAACTACTCACAACCTTGTGAACACTCTCCACACACATTCAGATCCTAGGAAGTTACAGTGGTCCCCAGGAACTAATGTACTCTGTTCATAGAAGAAGGTACCCTTCACCAGTAGCCAGAAGTTAAAGGCTCCAGATCCTCTTTCTGGCCCTTTTGATAAGTCTAAACATCTAGCTGATAATTAGAAACAAAGAGACAAAAATTTTGCGACTGTAAGACCCAGCTGCAAGGCCATAGAACTCTGATTTCAGAAAATCATCATATGGTAGCAAGTTAGCTTCCAGCAAATAAAAATATAAATGACCAAAAACTGCATGGCTCTATACTTTTGTCATAACTGTTTCAAGGAATTAATGATGATCTTGCAAATATTGGATCATGAAAATACTCAATAGAAAACAAGGGGGGAAAAAAGTCTTCCTCGTGCCAGTATTTGGTAAGAAAGAATAAGTAAGGAAGCAGAAAATGAAGTGTTAAAATGGTTAAAAAGAACCTGAACATTATTCAATATTTACTGAATCAAATCAGAATATTTGTCAGCTGAAGATATGGTAACACATGATGCTGAAAGTCTTAAAGATCAGACTATAATTGAATTCTAACATGGCTGACGCCTCAGCATAAATTTTCATTAGCTGATCTTCTTTAATTCCTAACAAGTATTATATTAACAGCCAATGAGTTAACAGACTTTCAGCCCTAATAAACAGAAATCAGAAATGCTACAGACAAGTTTATGGCTGTTACAAACCACAACTTACTGCCTTCTTGTATATGAGTATGTTGTCAAAGAGAGTCTATGGCAGGGCAAAAGCAACTGCACTAGAAACGGTTCAATTGTTAAACCACGCAGAAAGTAGCAATTACTTGTAACATCAATTAAAAATTAATTTCCCCAACAATAAACTTGCACGGAGTATATACCATTATGAGATTCAATATGAACAAGTGGCCTGTTCCTCATAACCCAGCTATTATTTAACGTAATGAAAAGGTATCCTATGGCCTACAAAGACATGCTGCAAGCTAAAAAAGAAATATTATATTCTTTAGCTTTGATCATGTAATGGACACTGCAACTAAGGGAAATCAAGTAGAGGGTTTTTGCATGAAGTAAGTCACGTACTTCTCCTTTAGTCTCATCACATCCCATCACTTATATGACAGCAACCATCCATTACACAGTGCATCTTACATTTACATATATACACGATAAAGTTGATACACACAGGTCTCAATTCCTGTAAACAGGTTGTGACCTGACACTGCAGTTTCACTCACACCACCTTTATACTACTACTACTTAAGGGGAAAAACCCCACTTGGTTTCTGATGTACTTTGCTCTTCATACAGCATAAGCAGTGTAACTAGCCTAGCAAGTTGGCACATTTCACGTATCAGGCAGTACCAGTATAGTCGCTCTTACATTTCCAATACTGCAACAGTTGATGAATCTTACAATGAAACATCAGTTAAGCTGAGACAAAGCACACTGATGCTGTTAGAAAGTACAAATGATGCTGCAATATTACACACTATAATGCTGGAAGGTTATTAAGATTAAATAATTTTCCAAAGCACAGAATTCATACAAAAAATATAAATGTTTGCAAGTTTACTTGACCAATGCTCTGAAGAACCAAACATGATGTCTGACTTCATTGCAAAACCAGACAAGAATCAGCCATATTTAGCACTTAACCAACCAATAGCATGTCAATATAGTCAGCTGACAGCCCTGAATCGCAGCATGAATCACATTCATCTACACAAGCCAGAGCAGCAATGGACAGCTATTCAATTACATTTCTGAAAACTTTGTTCAAAAGCCAATAAAAGAAGGTATAAATGAATTTATGCAATAATAATGCCTTCAAAGGTAGCAGAGGACTCAGTGATTGACAATACATTGAGTAGAAATACTGGTCTTGGTGTCCTTTCTCTTTTGTTGTATTATGAGGGAAGATGTCCTCAGTATCTTTATTTCAGTTAACTGTATTTACAGAGAAGTAACAATAATGCTGCAAGAGTCTCCAGTCAAAATAATCACAAGTGGGATAAGACTCAAGTTAAAATTTCCAGCAACATTATCAGCTTGTTGGCTTTGCATATTCGGCATGTCTTACATACATTTCCAGTTTTCCAATCTGTAAAACAGAGATAGCCTCTATATTCCTTGCAAACACTCTTCAGGTAAAAAAGCACGACAATGGACAAATTTGTTCAACGTAAGCCAAGGGCAACAGCAAAGTCCAGCATGTTCCATCCACTAGTCCAGGTATAAAGAGACAGGAGAAGCTATTCAGGACAACATATAAATAAAACAGTTAGGTTGGAAACATCCTAATGAAGTCAGACTCAAGTTCACTCTCCAGTTAACTGAAAAGGAAAAATGCCACATATAATGAAAACTAATATATATTTTTCTTCATTACAATTTTAGATTCATACAGATACTTAATGTACATCATAAAATATTAAGGCACTGGCATCTGAAGGATACTCAAGCTGGAAAGTTCATATATACCTGTATTCTTTTATTGTGAAGGAACTATTCATTTTATGTGCTTCACAATGCAGAGAATAAAACATTATTATATAGTGAACATCATCTGTCTAGTTACTTGAATGCTTTCAGCAGACTGAAGAAATGATAACAACTTCTCACTTTTTCCTTTACACCTGAAGTTTAATTTAGGAAGGCAAAAATTATACACCATACTAGTTAGCCAGCACTTAACACCAAAGTAAACAGCTTAACAGTACTGCTAGCACAACCCCCCAGTAAAGATCCCACATTGGATTAATCCTTTATGTTTCAGTGAGTACACAAAAAAACCCCACAATGTTGTAATGCAATTATGCATGCATGGAAGACTTGTATGTTCCAAAACAAAATGAAAGATAGGATGTGACATAAGAGCACCATCTGTCACATACACTCAGCAACCTCAATAAACATTTTATCTAAAAAAATGACATAAAATTATCTTTAATAACATTCTTTTAAAATTCTATTTGTTCACTTCTCCAATGGGAAGTATGTTATGCAATCAGTTATGGATGGCATCAAACTGATCCCTTGAACCACATCTTAGAATGAGAAATACTTGTATTTGTCACCAACTAAAATGGATGGTCACTGAGGGCTCATAACAGCAGAACTTAGGACTTACAACAGATCCCTACTTTTTTAGTTTCCTGCATAATCTAAAGCAGCCAACTTCACTTCACTGGGTTAACAAAATAACAAGAAACTATTTCTTCGGCAGCACCAGCAATTTGGCACGTTATAGGCATCCCTGTTGTTAGAGAAAACCATTCCTACTACAATACCAATTGTGAAAGCCAGATTATAACAAAGTCATAAATCCCTAAATTAACCAAATCACAATGTTTAGTGCTGGCAACACAGATCACGAAGTAGTAGAAAATGTTATGATACATATCAATGGAGAAGGAACACAGTAATTTTCTACCCTCTTCTTCGAGACCGCTGCTGCAAAACTCTCCAGCTATTCATCAGGAGCTTCAAAACTAGAGCAGTCATAAATTATTTTCATTTTCTTTGCAGTGATAACAGCAAAGAGAGTTTTGGGGCTTCCTTTTTAAAGAACTGTCATAAGTGCAGTGCAAGACTGGTGAAAGATGGCAATCTGGCAGCCCAGAAGACTGAAGTCTCTTTTCTGTTCCCTAAATAAAGTAGAAGGGCAAATTGCCAGTCCCAGAAAAGACCCAGGCAAGTCATCTTAAC